AAGTAGAAAGAAAATGTTTTGAGAATGATGATGGCAACAAATGTACAAATGTGCTTGACACAATGGGTGCATGTATGGATAAGAGTTGTATGAGTCCCCAATAAGATGATTAAAATAAAAAGAGTTGTAAGAGCTCCCAATAAAATTAGTCAAGTTCAACTCCAATACGTCTTCCATGTTACTTGCAAAATAATTCTAAAACTCAAATTTCATTAAGTCTTTTTCCTACTTACCCAAACCCCCTGTCATCAAATCAGTTCTGACTCTGTATAACCTTAGATATGATTTCTGAGTTTGTAAATCTTACAGGAGCAGATAGCTTCAATTTTCTTCCAAGAAGCAGCTAGTAGGTTTGAACCACTGACCTTGTGGGTAACTCTTAAGCATCTTCAGGGCTCCCCATTGTCAACGTCACAAAGCCAGAGTCTTTGCTTACTATAGAAGGGCCTTCCCCATCTGCCCACCTCCAGTCAATCTACCTCTAAACATATCTTTCACACAATATGAACTGGTAATAAAAGTTTATAAATGGCATGTTTCTTATCACTATAACTTTCCATATGCAGTTCCATGTGCAAAAATTAACCTTTCTCCATTTCCTTGTGTATTTGTCTTTTATGCTTTTACATGTCAGTCAAATTCAGGTGTTATCTCCTTCAGGAAGTCTTCTATAATTTCTCCAAATATTTGTATCTTATGTATTGCTTTGAACATTTACTTATTTTGTATTTATTTATTTATTTTTATTTTCATGGTATGATTTGTTCTCTTTACTTAATTTAATATACATTACAAAATATATCATACTTATATGAAAAATAGTACAAATGAAATTATTTTACCCACTTGTGCCACACTCAACCGTTTCTAAGTTTTAGAGATAATTACTAAAATGAATTTGGTATATGTATTTCTAGATCACTCACGTCCACACACCAGATATGTATCTATATATATGTTTGTATTACCAAATGGGGTTCGACAACAAAACATATCTATACTTTGTTTTTTCCACTTACAATATAACATGCATATCTTTCATTTTATTACATAATTTCCTTTATTTTTTGATATCTATATAGCATTCCATAATGTAATATAGTTAATATAACTCATTCACTTATTAATACATATTGAACCCCTTCTTCTTCTTTTTTTTAAAAGTCATTTTATTAGGGGCTCATACAACTCTTATCACAATCCATATACACATCAATTGTGTAAAGCGCATTTGTACATCATTCTCAAAACATTTTCCCTCCACTTAAACCCCCGGCATTAGGTCCTCATATTTTGTATTTATTATAATATATTAGTCTCATATGCTTGCCTCCTTTGCTAGAATGCTACCAGAAATGGTCTCATTCAGCTTAATGTAGTTAGCGTTTAGCATTGGCCCTGGCATAAATGTTGTTGCTTGGTAGATATTGATAAAATGGAATTAAATAACTTAAATGTGAAACTGTAGAGACTTGTATGCTGGTAAAGGAATTTCAGGCGTTCATTTTATAGAAAACATTTTTTGAGCAGAGGAGGACAGGTTAAAGGAAGAGGAAACATGCCCACTTGACCTCTTAATGTGGTACATGGGTAAGTTAATCATATAAATGTTAGTATTTACATATATATTTAATTTTAATCATTTTATTGGGGGGCTTTTACAGCTCCTATAATAATCCATACATCCACTGTGTCCAGGACATTTGTACATATGTTGCCATCATTCTTTTCAAAACATTTTTGTTCTACTTGAGCCCTTGGTATCAGCTTCTCATTTTCTCCCTCCCCACCCCACGCTCCAACCCTCATGAACCCTTGTGAAATTATAAATTATTATTTTCATAGCTTACACTGTCTGATGTCCCCCTCCACCCATGTTTCTGTTGTTCATCACCATGTGTGGATGGATGGTGGTGGTATTATACACCTATCATTGCAATCAGTTCCCCCTTTCCCCTTCCACCTTCCCCCTACCTATTAGGAATATAGATATTTTTGTGTGTGCATATCCCATCTTCATTATGTATTGAAAGTAACTTTAGAGCAGTTGCAAGAGTGGAGCAAAAACCTCACTGCCACCCAGTTGATTCTGACTCAAAGGGACACTCAAAGGGCTTCAGAAATTACAGAAACAGATAGCATGTCTTTTGAACCTCCATCCTTACGGTTAACAGCCCAATGCCTAACCCACAGCGCTACCTGGGCTCCTTAGAAGGTGTGAAATTAATACCTCGATTTTCTTTTTTAATTAATCATTTTATTGGGGGGCTCTTACAAATCTTTTTTTTTTTTTTACAAATCTTGTAACAATCCATCATTCAATAATATTAAGTACCCTTGTACACAACACCTCGATTTTCTAAGAAATGGAATAGTGCACTAAAAGTTGGGTTTTATGTGGCAACAAGTAGAGGATGAAGATATGCTTACATTTTTCTAAAAAGTGAAAATGAGAAACCATCTGTGTTTACTTCGAGTTGCTTGCTGCTTTCCTGGCACCATCGACTGCGCTCACCGAGTGCTCAGTTACTTGTGGAAATGAATTGAAACTACCATCGGCACAAGTGGAGGCGCTGCGTTCGGGATTCTTAGTACTATTGTTGGAATTCCGTCCTCTGGAGACCATCATTTTCTTTTCGCGGAAAACCTTGACTGATTCTAGGGACGCGGCCGATCATGAGGATCCTAGCTTGCGGAGCAGTGCCCACTGCTGATGGATACATGGTATAAGACAGTTTCTTGAGTTGAGGAGCGGAGCTGCGATTGGCGGAGCTTGACTCTGGTGGTTCACAGGCTATTGGGTGGTGCGTGTAAGAAGATACAGGTTCCGGGGCAGCAACTTAAGCCTCCCGGAAGTTTGAATGAAACCTTGGCTTTTCTGGAGACAGAGCTGTCACGGTGACTATTAATTAGGGCGCGGGGCGTGACGAAGAGGCAGCGTACGCATGCGTGCGTGCGTGCGTGCGTGAATGCGCGTGCGCAGTGTGGCTGTCTGTGGGTTGATTGGTTATTTTGAGAGCGGGAGGGGCAGTGCGCGCTCCTGACAGTGGCCTCTGTTCCCCCTCCCCTCCCTGCACACACACACCCCCTTCCCTTGGTTCCAGTCTGTTTTTCAGGAAGATGTCGGACGCGGCGGTAGCTGACACTCGGCGTCTTAACTCGAAGCCACAGGACCTGACTGATGCTTATGGGCCGCCAAGTAACTTCCTAGAGATCGACATCTTTAATCCACAGACTGTGGGCGTGGGCCGCGCGCGCTTTACCACCTATGAGGTTCGAATGCGGGTGAGTCACGGGGTGAGGGAGACAGCTGAGGAAGAAGCAGGGGCCCAGAAGGCGCTAGATGGGGTCATTTGGAGGTTAGGGACTTAATAGGGTTGGGTAGCAGTCTGTAGAGGATACAGCAAACTCCCAAAGGGGATCTCTAAATGGGGGTGAAGAAGTGAAGGTTGGCTGGATAGGGTGGGGAGGATGGAGAAATACTAGAGTCAGGATTCCAAGGAGATAGGAATCATGACTGCACTGACAGAAGGAACCAAAACAAAATCCATTGCCGGGGAGTAGCTTCCAAGTCAAAGGACTGAATAGAACTGCTTTACAGGGTTTCCAAGGGGTAAATCTTCAGAGAAGTAGACTGTACCTCCCTCCTTTTTTTTCCTGTTAGCAGGCCTTAACCACTGTGTTTCCAAGGCTCCTGACAAAAGGAAGAGGGTTGGAAAGCCAAGGTAACACCTTAGCTGGGTCCCATAACTAAACTAGGTTGTGGGAAGCCAGTGTGAAGAGTGAGGGCAGAAAGGCAAAGATTCTAACTAAAATGATAGATGAAGAGGTAATAGTAGTTATGCATTGCGATGCGATCCTCATGGTCGGCAGTTCGAAGCCAGCAGCAACTCCTCAGGTGAAAGACTGGGCTTTGCACTTCAGTAAACAGTTACAATCTCGGAAACCCACAGAGGGGCGTTATGAATCAGCATTGAGTTAGCATTGTGATAGAAGTATGAAGGGGAATCTTCTTGAGGCCGAGTGTTTAGAAGTGTTTCATGCTTTTATGTTTCCTCAGGTACTACATGCTGTGTCTCCTGGTGAAACTTGTCTTGCCTTAGGGTTGGTGGATTGTCTGTTGCCTACCCTTTAGATTTGATGTAGCCAGAATGTTCATTTTAATGTTTATTGGCTCACATTTGGGTTCTCTCTGTATTAATGGCCAACTTCCTTTTCTGCCTTAGATTAGCTGTTTGAAATCAGGTCCCAGCATGTCCTTTCTTAATGCATGACATTTCTAAACTGCCTCAGGATTGGCTTCTCCCAGAATGCAAGATCGTAGACTTAATTCTCCTGTGCTTAGTCTACAATCCAAGAGTGGAATGTGTAGACAGAGTACATGGTTTGCAGTGTAGTTATAGATAAATAGTGTGAGCTTTCTGCTCAAACAGCATGGAAGACCTAAGAGTGTGTGTGCTTTTATTTTTGAATGAGTACACTGAGTGAGAGAGAGTGAGGCCTTCCACCTGGACTTTGCAACCTAATTGAGAAAGAATAATCACCAAATTCCAAGTTTGATGAAGTCTAAACTGAAGTGAACAGTGAACAGAACAGTGAATAGTAAAAAAGAGGAAAGATATGTCAAATAATCCCTGCTGAGCAGGAATGGGAATTTGGTTTCTCAAAGTATGATAAAAGCAGGGAACTATTAATGGGAGAGAACTTAATTACCTGAGTGAGTCTGGCCATAACTTGTTTAGAAAGATCCCCTCCTGTGAGGATTAGTGATACTGTCTTGATGCCAAGAATCTTAGGCATTAAGGGTGTTATAGTTCATTACTTTTGGTATTCTAAAAATAACAGGACTGTTCATTGGGTGCCAACTATGTTCTAGCACTGAATTAGCTTTTAGTTTCTAAATACTTCCAGAAACCACATTTTATAGATAAGAAACTGAGGAGGAGTGCAGTTTAAGTACCTTGCCCAAGTACATACACTTGGGAATACGTAGCAGGGCTGGGATTTGAGTATAGGTCTGTCTTAACTCCTAAGAACACACACACACACACACACACACACACATTAACTTTATATGGAGCTTTGAGTGAAAGTTTGCTTTTATATTTATTATTGTTATCTTTTCAAAATTAGTTTTCAGTTCAACAATGGACTACACACATTATTTCATGACATTGATTTCAATCCCCACAATGTTACAGAACTCATCCCACTTCCTCCCTGGGTATCCAGTTTCTATTCATCCTTCTTTTCTATCCCTTTTTGCAATCCGAACTTTTTCTTCTTTTTTTAAACCATTTTATTGGGGGCTCATACAACTCATCACAATCCATACATACATCAGTTGTGTAAAGCACATTTGTACATTCGTTGCCCTCATCATTCTCAAAACATTTGCTCTCCACATAAGCCCCTGGCAACAGCTCCTCATTTTCCCCCTCCCTCTCCCCTCCCTCATGAACCTCTGATAATTCATGAATTATTATTTTGTCACATCTTACACTGTCTGACGTCTCCCTTCACTCACTTTTCTGTTGTCTGCCCCACAGGGAGGAGTTTGTATGTAGATCCTTGTAATCGGTTCCCCTTTTCCAACCCACCCTCCCTCCACCCTCCCGGTATCGCCACTCTCACCACTGGTCCTGAAGGGGTCATCCACCCTGGATTCCCTGTGTTTCCATTTCCTATCTGTACCAGTGTACATCCTCTGGTCTAGCCA